TCTGGGGTGACAGTGACAGAGGCCGAGAGAATGGCCTGACGTTGTGTCAGGGGAGGTTAAGGTTGGATATTAGGAAAAGATTATTTTATCCAGAGGATCACTGGGCACTGGAACTGCTCCCCAGGGCAATGATCACAGCACCAGCCTGACAGAGTTCAAGAAGTGTTTGGACAATGCTCTCACACACAGAGTAATTCTTGGGGTGTCCTATGCAGGCCAGGAACTGAATTTCAATGATCCCCATGGGCCTCTTCAAACTCAGGATATTCTATGATACTATATTAATTGTGAACACATTCCACAAGTCAATTTACCTGAATATTAAATTAAACAAGACCAAAATTTCCCTAAAATACATTTTGAGTTATTTATTTCTTTCAGCTTGATAATTAATTGACTCAAATTTAAACTCAAACACTGTAACTAAACAAGAGCTTTCGATCTCCACTGAGTATCACTATTCACTGGTAAATAAGAAAGCAACAGATTTCTTCCACTTTACATCTAAAAGAGCCCCATCATCTTAGAATTGATTCAAGAATAAAGACCAAAGTTTCCTGAATTGACTTGCAACTAGAAGAATTTCACCTGGAAACATGTTTAAAATACTCAAATTTTAGAGAAGATGCCTATGCATTCAAAAACTGGAGACAGCAAGCAGTACATGTTTTTCACTGGATTCTTAATAATGCAAAGCACCCACCTCATACACTCACTAGATGGCACTGCACACACATCAAGTGGCAACAAGTTTTGCATGACCAGAAATTCAAGAATGGCTTAATAAAATACACCCTGAAGCACAGAGTATGTGCACATATTTGTGGCCTCACGTAATTATTTCTTACAATAAAGCTATTGGAAACTTCTGTCTGAACCAAAGATAATCTGTTTGTCAACACAATTTGCAGTTTCAGGAACTAAGTAACACAAGACCAAGTAAAAGCTGCTTTAAGTGTATGACTGTTAAATACGAAGTCATACATCTCTACGTGGGAATCATGGTGTAATCATGAGGAAAATTACTCATACAAGTAAGGACTATAAACAAGAACTATCTGAAAAACTGATTAATGTCGTAATACATTAGGAACTGTGTAACTGGGATATGTATTTTAGAAACAGTGCCTTGTAAAATGTCAGCTTATGGACTTAAATGCCAATCTAGCATGATATTTGGGCAATTGATTTACACACAAAGTATCCAATACGAGAATTTCAGTAAATCCTTTAAGCCATGTTTGAAGATGACACTTAATTAAGGTCATAACAGGAGAATTATTAACTGTACATTCATCCCCATAAGAAAGAAAAAAGAAAATTTAAATAAAGTCAAGTCCTTTGCTGGAGAGTTGTGAAACTTTCCTGTTTGATTTGGAAGGGCTTCTGTTCTCCAGTATATAGTACTTGTAAAACGGCTGCTATGTACCTTAAGAAATACCAACTTTATTTGCATAATTACACTAACCCATGGACAAAGATAATCCCCTAGATATGAAGAAAGTTCAAAAACCAGAGGCTGTACGGGCACAGGTCTGTTCAGATTATGGCCCTGATGAGGAAGTGCTACTGTTTTTAGCACAAGTACTTTGCAATTCATTCTATCATATGTGTAGCACTGGCAGAACCAGATTCTGATACGCTGGGCAGCTTCACGGGGAAGGAAGGAGCTGGGCATGCAAGGGGTGTTTACCTGCTAGAGGGCAATCATTTGAAAAGCAGATTCACCATCAGAACACTCTCAGTTTAGGACTACACTGAGTGGTAGGGCTTCAAGCAATTTGAACACCCAGAAGGATGCTAAAATAACTGAACTACCCACACTGGAACCATTCTGGCACCAAAGCTGAGTAATACTTGTATAAAGAAATGCACTGAATCTGCAATTGATGTGGCATCTTCTATTTCAAGCCAATTTTCTCAAGTAAATATCCTGAAGGCATTCAACCTGAACTGTCAGCCAGAAGTTACTTAGTCCTCATGCTGTTTTCCAACTCTAATATAGTATGTAAACTTCAATAGAGAGAAAGAAAATGAAGTTGAAAAGAAACTTGTTATATGGACAGATATTTTTACAAACTTTTGTGCCATTAAACTCTAAAGGATTTTTTCCTAAAGCATTGTCCTCCTTTAAAGGCAAGTGTATCATCTGTGTTTTGCCAAAAGAAAGGGACTGGCTAATCTAGAGCTTTTCCTCAACTAGATTAATTTTCTTCCAGTTCTAATGTAATTGTCATGCAAGGAAGATTATGTCTATATGAAATACAGCACCAAAGAATTATTTACTATGCACTCTTAATAATCCATGAAAAAAGTAGTTTGCAATGATATGTCAATTTCCTCAACATTAAGAAATAATAGCACAAAGTATGTAGTAATCATTTACTGGTTTTCATTTTGCAAAAATTAAGCATTTTTGTAAAATTAAAATTATCTTCTATCCTAATTAGAAACTCACTATTTAATGCAGGCTAAAGGTAGTTAAGGCTATCTCATATTGCAAAAATATTCCTTTGATGAGACTAACACACACCAAAATTCTCAAATCTGGATTGATTTAAATAAGCAGAAGTACACCTATACACATTTAAAGCAGGAACTGAAATGAAGTAGAGTTAGTGCTTGTGCTTCAAGTTTGGTCATAAGTTCCCTTACAGAGTATAGTCAGAACACACATCACTAAATATTAGAAAACCATTTGAAAGTAGCTATCTACTTGTTAATAGGATTCCTCCACTCTTACACACTCCCGTCCCAAAACTTGATTCTCACAAAGATGCATACAAACACACATGAACTCCTAGATGGATAACAAGCAGATATTTTCTAAACTAATGAACAAAAACCCCAATGCTAAATTGGGGGGGGCTGTGTTAGGGGGGTGGTGGTGGGGGGAGGGGAAGGATTTTGCTAAATTTGCAAAATTCAAGTCACATATCTAGCACAAAAATATTAAGCCACCAAAAGGCAGAGACTATTCTTCAACAAATGGCCGTAGATATTCAGCAAATACTTTGTCCAGGCTAATCAAAGGGTTTAATTACTATTTTTTAGTTTCAGCTTAAAGAATTAGCTCATTTCTGCTTTTGCTATGCAGAATATTTTTGTTCCCATTTTAAAAAGGCATTTAATAAAAACAAATAAAACCTCATTGCCAGTGCTTGCTGGGCAATGGCTAATCTCACTTGGATACAGCCTTTAATTAAATATTCAAGAGGCAAGGGCTATTTAAATTAATTTACCATGAGAATTTATTATAAGAAGTAGGCTAATGCATTACCATTTAGTTACAAGACTACAAACACGAGTTTGGCTCAAAGCCCACTAAAGTGAATGGAAAATCTCATGCAAACTTCAAAGGACTTGGGATCACTCCCTATAAAAACTACATGAAGAACATTCCATTTTGGGTGATGCAGCTACATAGCAGTGGTTAATAAAGTCAATGTGTGTTTTTAGTGGTTTGAGATTTTTTTTTTTTTTCAGGAAAGAGTTGTACAGGAATACTGGGAAGCAAATAGATTAATCTGCCTAATATGATAGTTAAAAAAAAAAAAAAAAATAGCAGGTCATATGGTATCCAGGCCCCCAGGGTATCAAAAGGCTGTCAGTAATCCCATATTTTGCCATAGTAATCTAATAGGAAAAGTCTCACCACAGCAAGAATTCTCTTTGTCTCAAGCAGTAAAGTTAATTTTGCTGTAATCTTTTACAAAGCATTTAGAGATGAGCATGCTCAGCTGGCAGGCAATCACTGCCACCAAAGCTGGCCAGCACTGTGCATTTGGGATGTTTGGGATGGAGGCTGAACTTCCTGCAGGTCCCTGCCTCTGACAGCAGGAGGGAGATTTTCAGTGACTGTATCACCCCCTACCCATGAATGCAGCCACCTACCTAGTAATGAGAACAAAATATGGCATTCACAAATGACAAACAACATGTTTCTTAAATTATACCTCTTGGTGAAAGAGTTATTTAAAAATATATGCTATTTATATGCTTAACAGAAGTCATTGAGAGAAAAAAGAATTTTCAAATAATAAAGTGGATTATCCCTATTATCTGAAACAGTCATATCACAAAAAATGCAAAACCTCATTTCCATTTCTTATAGGAAATTTCTGTATGGGCCTTCTTCCACATCAAAGGTGGAAGATGTACTTGCAGGTTTGTACATCTTCAATTCTGTTTCCACTACTTCAGAAATGTAATATTTACTGCTTTTTCTGAATTCAAATACTTTTTCTGAATTCAAATATTGCACAAAGAGCAAAGGAAATTGGCTAATGGACTATACAAGAAAAAGCTATTTAAATTGGCAGTGTAAAGTAAGGAAAAAAACAATGAGAAAAATACTTTCTTCTCTAGTCACTGCTTGTTTCTTGAACTACTGAAAGACAAAATTTCTGAAAAATTCTGATTTTTAATTTGAGGGAACCGACTGAATTGCTAAACTGCATTTCCTTCTGATAGCCATTCAAAATAGCTATGAAGTCTTGTATCATGCTAACTGCACAAATTAAACTGGATAGAAAAAGATGTAAGGTATTCTAACATTCAAATATCAACAGAACAAATATTGGATTGACTGTTGTTTGAATTAGTACATCAGAAACCAATTGAATTAATAAATTTAAAATGTATAATTTCTTTTATGCCAAACAGAATCTACATTACCTCACTATCAAGTTGCAGCTGACAATTAACATTTTAAAAAAATCAGGGAAATAACTAGATGCAAAGAAAAGGCTATGCAGACATCAAATCCATGTTAAGTTTTTTGTTTCTTAAAGACAATTAATAATAGGGTTAAATCACAAGTTAAGCTTCCAGAGTCAGAGAAACAATAGCATTACTGCAAAATCTTAAAAAAAAAAAACCAAAAAAACAAAAAGACCAAGGACCTAAATGCAGAGAATATTTTTTCATTACCACCATTATTATATTAGAAAACATACTTGTGAATGTACAAAAAGCAGCATTTAATCCAGTATACTTACATTATTGCATTCTCCCAGGAAATATAGTGCAAATCCATCAGCTTTTGTAGCTGTCAAAGCAATAACAAAAGAAATAATTGTTCTCACAGGGATAAATCAAACTTACACAACATCATGGAGGTGAAACCACAGATTCAAGTCCACTTAGGACAAACATCTACCATTCGAAAGTTTAAGGTCTTCTGCTATGTTCCCTAAAACTTTGGAGAGGCTATAAAGGTAGGGGTACCACAGAGTTCTTGCTTTCTTCGTTGCCATTTACAGCATTTTAAAAGATAATTAGAAACAACTTCTTTATACCTCTATACTCCAAGTACTAATGTCTGTAAAAGCAAGTTAATTCACACAATAAAAGTAACATTTAAAACTGTATTTACAATATAATGTCAGGCACCACTACAATTTCTAAGAGTAAAATAAATGCTAATTGTAAATATTAAGCAATACTTGTTCTTGCCTTAAGAGAGAAAATCATGGGAAAATGAGGAGTTACAAATACTGCTATAAAAATGTGTTTTCAAACAGCTTCTATTTTCTGCACCTAGCCCATATTAAAAATAGTGACACTCACCAGAAAGTTTATAACTTTATAGATTTCTGCTAGATTCAGAGTGTGGTATGAAACAGGGTAAAGTCAAGTTCCTTAAACTCTCAAAAGCTTACAGGCAATCAACTTTCATAACTTATCCTCAAAATCAGAACCAAAGCAGAAAATGTTTTCCACCCTGCTTTAGGCAACTTAAGGCTTGGATCATGTGTCTTTCCACAAGTTAATAAACATTCTAAAAATAGATTTAAAAGGCATATCTGGTACTTATTGTTTTATGAATCACCTCAAAAATAATTTTAGTACATTTCAGCGGAAAAAATTTTACTTGTGTGCAATCAAATCAAATGGTTTTCTTAATTTCTTTAAGAAAATGGAAAAAGTTCAACTGTGTAGTTAGTATTTTGTTGTCAACTGTGCAGCACTATTAAGAGTTCAGGGCACAGTCATTTGCATTCAGATTTTAAATCCTTCAGCTGTAGTACCTAAGTATATTGACTTATAAGGCAAATGGGGACTGTAAAGGAAATAATATATTAAAAACCCTCCTGTCTGCTATACAAAAGAAAATGTAATACATAAGCACTCTGTATAGTCAAGTCTCACTTGCTGTTTATTAACAAATTTGATTTGCAGTGAGTTGGACATCAATATCCAAATAGCACCCTAAGCAAAATCAGCAGAGAAAAGGTTCTTTTAAAACATCATATATAAAAAACAGAACTATTACTCATCATTACAAAATTATGAAGTAGCTGGGACAGTAAAACCTCTCTAAAGAGCTGACTGAAATCTACTGCGACACTTCTTATTGAAGTCTGAGTACATTCACTCTGGCTAAAAAGAAACCAAATTACAGTTATATTGTTATTGAGAGTGTTGTGTTTGTTTTAAATTTTTAACTTTTGATCATATGCAGTATTTTCATACCAAAAAAGGTTACTTGCATCAGATGAAAAAATTAGTTAAACAACTGAGTTTGAAATCACACAAAAGACATGCCTTCTTCCAGTGACATTTCAATTGTTTCAAAAGGAGTTTAAGTATGTAGTGATATTACTGATAGATTTTTTTTTTTTACTTTCTCTATTGAAATTGCAACACCATCATAACCAGAATAGTTGACTCTTTAGTTCATTTAACATGAGATTTTAATATCACAACTGGATATGCAACTCTCTCCAAAGATGAAATTCACTTAAGTGCAGCTAGGGATTCACTGAGGGACAGAAGGGGAAGTAAGTTCACACTGAGAGAACATCCAATGGGAACACTGTTATCCCTAAGTACCTGGCTTTATTAATTAAACCACGTAAGAAACGTGCTGTGCAGTGATGCTGAGTAACAGCTCAGAGACATCTGATTCTCCTTCTTACCTATTTTAATGATGCTGCTCAGTTCATACAGAAGCAGTTGGTTATCTCCTCCTGTATCCAGGCGCTGCTCTATGTAGCTGTTTAATTCGTACACTACGCCCTGCATATTCGTATCCTGGTACTATGGAAGCAAAGATGAGAAGAACATTTTAGAATAACTGAGATGAATTTTGCAGGTTTAAAACTTACACATTCATTAAAAATAATATGTTAAGATTTCAGTACTGAGCCAAGTAGAGCTGTCCTAATCCAGCTGCCTGAAGAGCAAGGTCACTGCTAAGCAAGACGCACAACACTCCACTCTCTGTTCATTAGACATTTGTTCAAAGCACACTGAGAACATCACTGAACAATTAAAAATCACCTAAACTGAGCCAGGGTCATCGAAAATTATCAAGTAAGTAGACTGTCACCATTGAGTCAGAGATGACACGGACTCCAAAAGCAATCAGAAGGCTAATTCACTTTATTAGGAAACCCATTCCTTTTTATACTCTATACAGGTATAGAGTCTAAGTGGTCCTTTAATAAAAACACTGTCACCATTGGTTAATTAAGAAATCCATCTGTAAACAACCTTATGGGCAAAACAGCTTATCACAAAAAACCTGCAGATTGTTTACAATTCTTTCTCTCCAGCTCCCTCAGACCAATTCATGGGAAAGCTTATCTAGCTTTCTCTCTCTCTGACCAGACTGTTACATCCACAGTAGACTTAAGCTCCTTCCTTTTAAGGAGTTTCCTAGTCCACCAGGAAAGGAAGCAAGCAACTGCCTTAGCTAGCATCTTCCACCTCAGATTCATGTGCCAAATGACAGAACTGTGCCAAACACCAGAGTTTTCAGGTGGTGATAGCTCAGGAAGCTCAGCCTTTCAAATACAGAAGCAATTAATATCAACCAAGTGAAGGACAAAAATCACAAGGCAAAATCACGCCAGCCACAGTGGCTTCACAGGCTTTTGTTTCAACTGATAATGGCAGACACAAATCAAATCTGTTGGCAGATTACAAATCAGTTAGAATATTTAGATGGGAGCCATGGGGTGCTGATTGCTGGTATGATGGAACAGCATGATATGGTTAAAATCTCACAGGAAAGGAGATGCAGCCTCCCTTCAGGGCCCCAGCTGCATTTGTTTATTCATTTCCCAAGTTCTGAAGGGCTGTTAAAAACAGCACTAAATGTGTATGTGTAGCATGACAGCATCATGAACAATAATTTCACAGGAAGAAATACTTGGCACTAAGTAAAGATTCATTACCCTGCCCAAAACTGGTAATGTGGAAACTGAATAAAGTAATATGGTCAATTACTTACTGAAATCCATGATGCAGTAAATTACATTGCTTAAACTAAAAATTAAGCTGGTGATATTTAGACAAATTAATGTTGCTTGAAAGACTAAGGCTTACTCTTCTGCTCATTCATACTTCAGAGCCAAGTTTAATATAGATCAGACTAATATAAACAACAATGGAAAATACCATAAATGTTCAGAGTATCACAGTCTAGACCACTGCCAGTCCAATGTTTATGGGCATATATGTAACTGCTCAATAACTTTCTAGATGTTCTCTGTCTGTACGTGTGGGTAAACCTCTAGATGTGACACTGATGGATTAAGCATGTAATTTACACAATATATTTCATTATATGATCTTTATTTCCCCTCTTATTTTCATGCATACAACACACTAGGTCAGTAATAGAGAGCATGTAAAGATATATATTTAGGATACATTTTGATGCTTCATCTCAAAAACACCCAAAAATCTCCACAAACAAAAAAATTAAAAGTGTTTCCTGGATAATATCAATTCCCAGTTTCTTTAAATTCAGAAGACCTTAATCTTGATTTTAAAATGGTTCCTGAGAATATACAGTCTCTGCCATGACCCCTTCTTAATCTACTAATCTATTGCTCCACATGGACATATTAGAACATTTAAGTACTAGGCTGTCCAAATATTCTTAATGTGTAACAAACCTTACAGTTCATAATTCTTTCTGCAAAATGATGAGATGGTTATACATTTTGACAGCGATGTAAGGTCACACTGCATAAATGCATAAACTACTGCAGGTCTTGAGTTTACAATACAGCATGCCACCGCCACTATTAGCACCATATGGCAGCTGGCAAGCTTCCACTGCCTGCCCTCTGCTGTGTCCCACATTTACTCCTGTATGATTATTATTCAAAGGGAGAAAGCAATTGCATAGTTTCATGCAAGTGGAGCTTTTATACTTACAATCTGTAGCCATAAGTAGCCGTAAAGCAGGAAACTGGTGAACAAGAGTCTACACAATTCAGATGTGCTAACCAACCCCTTTTCAATCTGCAAAAGTATGTGTAGCCACATACCCTAAAGTAACAGCAGCTAATCAAGCACACATGAACTTTATCATGTGGAAAAATGTCTTCTCAGAACTTGGAAATGAATACACATCTTTTCGTCTGTGACGCACAGTCAGGATTTAAATCAAATCCTCAAAGGTTAAAGCTAATACGTTAAGAGAACGCATCATCAGAATGAGCCATAGCAGAATAACTGCTTTCCCTCTAATCAAGCAGCAGTTCAGCACACATACTAATTATATAATACCTATGTGCCCTTTATTCTCACCTCTGCCACGTATGCTTGCAAGTGTTTGGTAAGCAGGGCAAACCATTGCCCGTGTCACTGAGGAGACAGCAGCTGCGTAATGTCGGCCATTGCTGCGTGGCATGCGTTTGGTACTGACCATCTGCACACCCACAGCTGGCCAGGCAAATACAGCTTGTCCAGATGCACAGCTAAGTAATTCTTAGATCAATCATCAACAAAGATTCACTCTGTCATGGTTTTCCTTTTATTATAGTACACTGAAACAGTTTTTTATTAGGTTCTAGGCATTTTACATTAGATAACCATAATTACGTTTGGTTGAAAAGTCTTTATGAAACTATGTATTTAAACACTGAGTAAGTCATCAGGAAACTCTGGTACAAGCACTACCCAATGTGGTTGCTAACACAGACTTGTGCATATTTGGTGTAAAACTTAGTTTGAGAAAGCAACTCCTCAAAAAAATTCAACACACTTGGTGGAAAAGGAGTATTTATTATATATATACACTATTATATGAAGTAAGTAGAGTTTCTTAATTTTCAATTTAAACATTATTAATACTCATCAATTTTTTTCCTTAATTCATTTTTCCCATTGCTGATTTCCTTCTATTTAAGATTCAGTGTCTACAAGTATTTAGTATGCTCACTGTACAATTATGAATTTCAATGAAATTACATAAAATAATTCCACTAGACTAAAAACTAATTTAGCACTACTATACCAGCATCATATTTCTAGTAATTGTGTATATTTTAAAGCTATGAAAATGGACTAACAATTACTAAGGGAAATTGTGCTATAAATATTCATTAAAAATTCATAAATATAAAATAAGGTTGTTTTTACAGGATTTATGAAAAATAGTTATATGGTTCTTAGTTTTTAGAATATTTCAGTGCAATAGAAGACAACAACCCATGACAAGTGATTTAAGAATAGTTTTGCGACTTAGAACTAAACAAGGAGGCTAGAAACATAAACATTAAGGAGATACTGAAATACTGTAGAGTGAGATGAATTTTAAATATTTGTTCTAAACAATTCTGACACATGGAGAAACTAATATTAACTAACACAATATAATATCTAAAGTTAAAAAAAAAAAAAAAAAACAAAAAAAACCAAAACCAGAAAACCCTGAAATGAAGATTGTTTCTATGCTTTGACACTCATAGGGCAGCTTAGCCACAGGTGTTTTATGCTTTTGCAGGAAAGAAAAAGTCCCTTTGCAGCAACAAAAATACAGCAATTATATCCAATTGCAAGGCACTCTAGAGGTGTCACAGGGGGCCACACCATGGACAGATGGAGGGACACTTGAAATTAAGGACATATATTCAATCAAAGACATGTAAGTGGGCCAAAATTGAAAAAACAAAACAAAAAAAACCAAAACAAACAAACAAAAAAAACAAACAAAAAACCAAACCAAACAAAAACAAAACCAAAAAAAAAAAAAAAAACCAAAAAAAAAAAAAAAAATAACTCAGCTGTTCAGGTAAGAAGGAATTCCTGGACCAGGAATAGGATCTTTTGGGACAAACAGTGCTTCTTGTAAAGAACCTCAGTTCTTAAACAGTGTAAAATCACTAAGAATCAAGGATGTACAGAGACCAAGGACATTGTACATAGACCCAGGAGTTCAAAATACACATTCTCTATCTGGTTACATCAGTTAGTATTTTAGATAGCCAGCTTCTTCCAACCGCCTAAATTAAACTCTCAATGGCAGCATCAAAACTTGCAGATAACAAATTCAAGTAACTCTGTGCAACATTTTACACAAAAGAATGTCCTTAGGCAGGGACTGGATTTCACCCAAGGTTCTTCAGTCATCACTAAAACTGACAGCTCCTCTCTTCTCTATTAGCACACTACAGAACATAGGCCAGATGCTGAACTGAAAACAACCAAAATCTCCTCATAAACTTCCAGACAACACAAGTTTTCTTTCCTATAAAACTATAGTCTTGGCAACAGGAGTCATCAGGGAAAGAATTTAAAGACGAACTAAAAAAAGCCTCCAAATAAAAAAGAACACTTGTTTGAAGTCTTAATGGTCTGAATTAACAGTTGATTGAGATGTCAGTCCAAAATATTTCACGCTAGGTATTTTCATACTTGACCAGAAGTATAAAACGACAGGTCTTACATACCTATGTTCTCAATGCCATTGATACTTGCATTATAAAAGCAACACTTCTATACTTCTCAAAAAAAAAAAAAATTGTCACAAAAAGAAGTAAATAAACTAAAATATTTGATGCCTTTTTCTGAAATAGATCAACTTTCCCTCCTCTTGGGTACTCTTATGAAAAATCCCAAATGCACTGTTACCATCCTGATTTAAGAGACTTGCTCTACATAATTTTCCAGTTGCATCCATAACTTATCTTCTGGAAAGATAATCAATACTCAATTACTTGTATGTTTTCTAAAGAAATACTATACGTCCTTTAAGAATTTTGGCACTACTACTTTATTTACCCACATACTAAGTGTTT